ATCCCTGAAAAGGGCAGCGTGTTGGACCCTGAGCACTAAGTGGGTTCATGTGCAGCTGGGGCTGAGCCGCTGCCTGGCTCATCCTAAGCTGCTTAATAATTTATTAGCTTTTCTTCTTAATGTAATTCCGTATTCAAGTCGGTCTGTAGTTTGTGTATTTAAAGACAAGACCAATCTACTCTCTGACACTCCACTGTTTCCCTGCACCCTGGAGATGGGCCAAACCAAGAGCACCCTGTTCCAGAGGTTCCCACTGTCTGTCCTCATCTGGTTTCCTGGAATTTTCCTCTCTCCTTCCCTTCTCCTAAGGTTGTACCTCCCTCCAAGGCTCCGTAAATGCTGTGTCTCCTGTGGAGCTGCGTGTGTGATTTTTCTGGCAGAAGCAATCTTTTCTAACTACCCGCCCCTATCCTGTCACCTGCCTGTCTCTGCGGACACACAGTTTCTGTTCGGCGTCCTAAGTCCCTGCACACGTCGCTCAGCCGCTTCCTGGGCTGCAGCTGGGCCCAGGGCCCGCGGTGTGCGGCACGTGGGGGTGACCGCAGCATGTGGGGGTGACGGCACCCCAGGCCAGCGCATGCGCAGACGCCGCGCGGGCTTACCCTGCAGCATGCAGTCATAGGCTTTCCGGTCTCGCCTGCCCAGAGCGTCCCAGAACCCCAGGGGCTCCGATCCTTCGTCACACTCATGTATCGTCACTTTGCTGCTACTGTGCAGTCCTGCCTCCAGGGGACACCTGCACAGAGAAAATCCAAGAGTTCTTATAAGGCCCTGGCAGCACAGAATTACTCAACGAATTCTGCAGGTCTGTCAGCCACCTCTCTCCTACTTTCCAACAAACAGTTCCACTACGTGGAAGACTGAGTGAAATCGATTTTTTTATACGGAACATATACATTTCCCACGCCTCCTCCCAGGGCTGGGTGTGTTCACCAGCACCGCCCTGGGCCCTAAATCTGTGCTTGGTACCAGGCAGGTGTTCAATACATATTTGCTGAATGTGCAAGGGAATGAGTTATTCATTTTATTTTTCCTCAGTGGCCCAAGGGGAAAAAAACCCTGACGGGTGACAGGTGCCTCTGGATGAACGCTGGCTGTCATCCCTCCCTGCTCCCCGGCCCCCAGGATGCTATGCTGGTCTGCCCACCGCAAGCCTCTCTCCTCTTCTGCTCTCCAAGCACACTAGGATTTAAAGCAGTAGCAGGGAACCAGGCCCATCCTGCCCGGTTCCGGTACCCCGAGGATGGATTTGACCAAACTCCCTGGGAAGCTTTGCCCTTCCACTATGCCGATGTCACCGAGGCCAGGTCTCAGCCCGGGCCTCTCGGGAACGCCTGAGGGGCACTGGGGTTCCTTGCCGCCAAAGATGCCCATTCTGCTCGGGCTGCAAGGAAGCACAGAGCCACAGGGGCAGCCCACCTGGGCAGGTGTCTGGGTGGCCCCAGCTACTCCTTGGCTTTGTCCTCTCTCCCTTCCCCTGGTGGGTCTTCACCTACCGCTGTCACCAGGCACTCTGTCTGTGTAGTGGGCCCCTGTCTGCCCTGGGGAGACAGCACCCAGTGCGCTTGCCCAGAACTGCCCCGGGGACTCCAGTGACTCACCCAGGTGGCAGTCTCGGAGACTAGGAAACACGGTTGTCCTCTAACGAGGGGACACCTGACAGTCCGACACAGTGGTTGGTTTCTAACTCCCTTGGGCTAAGTGCTCTTAAAGCACTCCACTCTGACATAAATACCTAAGTGACACTTGAGACCTGCTCTCTTTAAATAGCAGAGGATGCCACGCTCCTCATTCAAAAGCCCGAAGCACACTTCTGAGGGAGCTGGTGGCGGTCCCCTGCCTTTTCCTCAGGCAGGTAAATCCTCAGAAAGCAGGGGCAGCCCCGGAGGTTTGGGCCAGATGTGTGTCCTGTGCCCTTGGAACATCAGGGCCCCTGACCATGTTTGGACCCCCCCGCCCCCCTGAGTCACTGTGGCCCCACCTGGGCATCCATGGGGACCTTGGGATCCTTCCCGCCTGGTGTGCACCCCTGGGGAGCTGGGAGCGGTCCTCAGACACACAGCACTCACTGTTCCTTGATTTTATTGGCTGCAGTCCTCCCGACCTCCTTCGTGTGGGCCTGGGCTTTGCATCCGTGCCACAGGTAGATGAGGGCTTTGTTTACGTTGAGGACAACCATGGACGTCCTGGACCTCAGGCTGCTGCAGTGACAGGCCACCTCCAGCAAGTTCCCCTCCACCGGCACTTCACCACGAACGCAGTACAGCCTCCACCCACCTGCAGGGGGCGCCGGTGGCACAGAGTAAGCACGCGGCTGCCTGGGAGGGGGCCTAGCAGGCAGCCACCAGCGCCACCTCCTTCCAGTCCCGCTGCTTGAGGGGGTGGGGGCAGGATGGGTGGAGGTCCTACGGTGGCCAGAGAGCAAATCTCTTTGGAGTTAGAAGCAGGGTTGCCAAAAGTACATGATGCAGAAAAACGATTTTTACAAAATTCATAAATGCCTAGTTAAGTCATATTTTAAAGGGCTCTAAAGCTCAGGGGTTTTTTTTTTTCTTTTTTGAATGCTGGCCAACAAAAATCTCAAAATTTAGAAGAGAAGCTCACGGATTTCTCCCCCCTCGTCCCCTTGAAAAGAGACAGAGTTGCTAGGAGGATCCAGTTTAAGGTGAAGTCATTTTCCAGCCTCCCACCTGCAAAGCTGGATTCTGAAGTCAGCTCCCCGGAAGGGGGAGGGTGTGAGAGCCCCAGAAAGCTGACTTACAAGGCAAATGTCAGGTTTTCAGTGGTAAAGCCACAGCTATATGAAGAGAGACTTACTTTAAACCCCTAGGTCTATGAAAATACCTTTCATAGGAGGGGAAGAAAATCAAATTCCAGCAGTGAAAGTGACTCACTTTGTGTGTTTTCTTCCTCCTCTTCCCGTCTCCCGGAGTGGACCACCATCCCCCCCTGGAAACACTGCAGAAAACAGGGGGGCTCCTTTCCCTGGAGAACCTGGACCTTCGAATTTAAACACATGACAGTAAGTAATATGTAGTGGTTCTGCAGAGTCAAAAACACAATACACGCTTGTTGTCCACCATCTGAAAAATACCCAGATGTGCAAATAAAAGCCAATGATAATACTGTTATTTATAGATAACACTAATAAAATTCTAGTGTATTGCTCTCCTAGAATACAAAGTATTTTTCGGGTATACACTTTTCCCAAGTCGGACTGCTGACTTATGTTGTTTCATACTCTGATTTTCTTCAAGTCATGTTTTTCCGTCATTGCATATTTTAAAACATGAATTTTGATATTTTAATGGTATGAGATGGTATAGAACATGACTGATATAAACACATTTTAACACAGTGCACCTCTCAGCAGGGAGAATGACTAATTATTATGATTATTTGGAGGGGGTGGTTAGGTTTATTTATTTTGATGGAGGCACTGGGGATTGAACCCAGGACCTCTTGTGTGCTAGGCGAGCACTCTACCACTGAGCTATGCCCTCCCCCGACTAATTATTAACTTAGTAATTCTGGGGAAAAGAACAGTCTGTCTTTGCAGCCTTGGTAATGTGCTACTCAAAGAGCCTCTGTTAACGCGTCTGTTAATCCATCAGGGTGGGCTGCATCTCACCGATAATGCAGGGTTGAGTTAACTTACTCTCATCTGCCAAGACATTTCCCCTTACACGGGAAACTGTTTACTGAGGCTGGCTGGGGGAGCACTGGAAGGTAGGAAGCATTTCTCACTATGAGCTGATTTCTCAGTCTCAGGGCCCATTTCTCATCATTAAGTGCTACTTTGGGACAGTGTTCTGTATTTCTGCAGTTTTTTTCCCCCCATCCATTGTATGGATAAAAAAATGCTCAAATTAGAGAACTCAAGCCTCAAAACTCTAAGGATAATTTTGAAGGCACGACAAAACATATCCATTCATGGCCTTTACCAAAAAAAGAAAAAAAAAGGCAGTTGAAATGACCCATTATGAGGAATTAATGAACAGGTGTTTGTCACTGAAAACTATTTGTACATTATAGTCCAGGGTACAAAATAAGCACTAAATCCTTTCGGGGAAGAGGGCTGGTTCTCAGGGATCTGGAAGGCTGAGTGAGTGTTGATCAGTTTCTGGAGAAAATTCCTCCAGTCTCTCTCCTCATGCTGTTGTCAGCTGTTCCTCCAGGAGACTAAAAGTGTCTGCACGTGGTGTCATGTTTTCCAAAACTCCCAGAGTCAACTCAATTACTGATAATACAGGATGAGACCTGACACACAGATAATCCAAATGTTAAAAAGAAACGTTTTCAAAAGCTTGGCTTGGAGCAGTAGTACCTGCCAGGCATTACACAGGCCCTGGGGTGGTAAGACAGGGTGGGTTAGACAACTTGTGGGGAAGGCAGAGCATAAGTTTGTCAACAATATGACTGTCATTTTACATAGGGATAAGTGCTATGAAAAAATAAAGCATCACAAAGGGACAGAGAAGGCAGAGGACAGGAGAATGGGGAGGGATTTAGATAAAACATGGTGGCGACATCCAAACAGCACCCCAAACATGTAAGGTTCCAGGCCGGGGAATCAGTGCAAAGGCCCTGGGGTGGGTGGAAAGAGGTGTGCCTGCGAACCACAAGAAGGTGGGAGTGGCCTGACCCAGTGCAAGATGAGGGAGGTTGGAGAGATGTGCAGGGCCGAGCCCTGGGAGGCAGTCAGATTGTGGTCCGGGTGTGACGGAAGCAAAGAAGGGGCACTATCTGACACGTCCCAGAAAAATCAGGCGGCTGTGAGGAACGCAGACAACAGGAGGACCATTTTTACATCAGTCTTTGCTATTTCCTTGGGATAGATCGGCGTACGTGGAATAACCGATCAAAGCCCAGCATTTTAAGGTTCTTGAGCCAAAGCTGCCTTTCAGGACAGCTATTTCGATTTCTACTTCCCGGGGGAAGCAGACACGGGTGCCCCAACCTGCTGAATCCTTGCCGGCCTGGGATTGCTTCTTTTAAAAATCTCTGCCCTTTTAGGAGTGGAAAATCTTTGTTTTATTTACAATTCCTTGGTGATGAGTTCAGTGGAAACTTAAAAAACAAAACAAAACAGTAACTCACTCATGGGCTCTTTGTCCTTGTTTCAAGGATTTACCATTTACAGATGTACTTTAAGGTCATATTACAAGAGGTCTGCCTTCCTGGCCAGGAAGGGGAGGCAGAGTTTGAAATCCGGGGAAGCCAGACCAGGACTAAAGGGCTTTGGATCGTGTTGTCTTTGTTCATTCAGGGACCAGGTCCCACATACCCGAAAGGGACATGTCCTCACTGCCATGCACCTGCCTCCAGGACTTACCTGGGCTCCCCTTTCTTCATCCAGCTCCACCGTCATCAGGGCCGACGTGCCCTTCTCACTGATAGTCGACTGCCGGCCTTGCCAGAAGAAATAGACACACTTCTCTTTGCCAGCCACCCTCGCCGGATGCTCCCCCCGCTGCTGGCTTCCCACTGCAAACACACAGAACAGCAGAGCGTGGGGTGAGCAGCCAGTAAACCAGAAGAAAAGCAAGCACGCGGTCCAGGCCTCCACGCTGGGCCAGGACACACAGGAAAGCAGCAGCTCCGGGCGCGGGCCAGGCAGAAGTCATTCCAGCTGGAGGGACCATGAATCACACCGCTGGAGGAGGGCGAAACCACCTTTCTTCCAGCTACCTGATCCCGAACCTCCGAAGGGGAGAAAAAGGATCTGAAGGGCGCCCCTGGTACCCTAAGAAAAACACCCGTCGCCCAAGGGGAATGGGGCGGATCATCTAAGCGGTGATGCCCAGGGCTCCCGGAGACACAAATGCGTTTCCCATATGACGCCATCCTTTGGCAGAAGATGAGCTGGTTAGAGAAAAGATACTGCAAACAACAGCGAGGCCAGCTTTAAGTGCAAAAGGGAAGACTTTAGTCTGCTAAAATGATTCTAATTAAAAAAAAAAACCAAAAATAAAAAACAAAACACTTTGAAGTCTCCAAGTCTGTCCGAAATGGGAGAGAGAAATCGTTAATATATCACTTTCACAAAATTATCTGGAATTTAAATAATGGCTGTAGCCAGGATTAAGCACTGGTTCTCCTCACTGTCTGGGACCTGGAGGCACTGGATCAGCGTTAGCAGCGCAGAAGGCTGAGCCCACTACGGGTGGCAGAAGTTAGCTGGTCAGGTGGTCACCTTAGATGGTATTTCAGACCCCTGCATCGCTACCTATAGGGGCAGATCTTGCTTCAGATTTCCCTCATTTATTCGTCCAGCAAATGTTTTTTGAGCACCTACTACGTGCCAGGGAGTCTTCAGGATACAGGGCTGTGACCATGTGCAAAGCGGCTTCACTTTTGGGGGTTAACTTTGACCAGTTTCTTGCACTTGCGTTGATTTCAGCCGCGTGTGTCCAGAATGGGCTGTGGGGTTATCTTTTATCTTTAATGTGAAACAGACATTGATCATCCCAACCACTCTGGTCACAAAATTTTCTTACCAATTTTCTTCTTGCATTTCAATAAAAGAGAGTGAATTTCTGTATACAAAAAAGAAAAACAGACAGACAGACGAGAGAGGGTGAGAGCTCCTGGGAATGCCTGGCCAGGGAGGGCCTTTCTGAGGTGGCGAATGGACAGAGGCCTGAGTGACAGTGACCTGGAAGCAGAGAACCTTCTAGGCTGAGTCGGGTCAGGAGACCCAGTTCTTGATTCAAATTCCCTGGGGGTCCCATGTGGGGTCAGTGATGGGAGGATACAGGTGGATACAACCTCACACACCTTCAGGCTGAGTGCAGGAACTGCTTCTGCTGCCGAGAATGTCAGTGATGATGATTTCCTGCATCTGTGGGAACCTGGGACAGGCCCGCCGCCCTCCTGCCCTGCCCACGAGGGCCTTCCCACCCCCGGCCTGGTCAGTGAGAGGTGGGCACCCCTCCCATACTTGCCCTCCTGTCATTTACACCACATGCAGGGTCTGAGAAAGTGACTTACTCCCTGAAAGCAGTGTCTTATACACACAGCAGGTAC